CCTCTCCACTCTTCTCCAAATCTCTCTCCTCTATTCTCTTTTTTTCCTTTCTTCTCGTCTTTGCTCCTCTTGCTCCTCTCCTCTCCTCTCTCTCTCTCCTCTCCTCTCCTTCCTCTCCTCTCTCCTCTCCTCTCCTCTCCTCTCCTCCCTCTCCTCTCCTCTCCTCTCCTCTCCTCTCCTCTCCTCTCCTCTCTCTCTCTCTCTCTCTCCTCTCCTCTCCTCTCCTCTCCTCTCCTCTCCTCTCCTCTCCTCTCCTCTCCTCTCCTCTCCTCTCCTCTCCTCTCCTCTCTCTTCCTCTTCTCACCTAATCTCTTATTCATCATCATCAAAGTTTCTTTGATTTTATGACTCATATGTTAATAGATTAGTCGTTGAAATAATGTGTAAATTTATGTGGATAGAAGCATTATTATATATATATTTTTGTTGTTATTATATGCAGTTTGTTGATGTCTTTTATTTGCATTAAGATGAAATAATATAACCCAAGTGCACTAATTCATACACGCATGTTGATTATGCTTAGGTTATAGATTTCCTTTTCCCATGGGTTCCTGCAACATAAGAAGCCCAAAGAATGTCATGCAGCCACAGGGTTCTCTTGGTCTGAGAAGAAGCCCTTCAAAGAGGGATTTTATTGGATGGTATTATGAACCTGCCTTCAGGCTTGGAAAATTACTATATGATTAAGAGGATGTTTACCTTTAGGATAAAGCAGTTGGATGTGTTTTATTTGATTGATTTTCTCATTATGATCCTTTTGATGAGGATGAAGGTATTTAATTGCTTAAATGTAAGTTATAACTTTGTGCTAATGCATTAGATTATGGGTATTGATTTCTCATGAAACCATGTTCATTAAGTCCCTCTGTTTCAGCTGCCCCTTCTTTCGGAATGAGCTTGGGGGGGAGAGTGAACGGGTCGTGAGTCTAAGCAGAGACTGGGGCTGTGGAACGAGATCTGGCTCTTCAACTGACCCACCTGTTCTTTATCGTTCTGTTGCTGCAACCACCATCGGCCTCTTGGAACCTTCCATGGGCCAGTCCCACTGGAGGACAACCCTTTGCCCCTATGTTAGAAGTCCCTACACGATAGAGGCAGTTGACCAGGGGGCGGGCTACTACCGCAGCTATTTCTGTGGACAAGGTTTGTAGATTGCATGATGCTCTGTGATGTGAAATGATTATCATTATTGATAATATATAGATATAGCTATTAATATTTGGTTGAATGTTATGATGATAAAGTTGGTATTAAAAATTTGTTATACATTCTAAAGGGTTAATGAAGAACTGTGAAATAAATAAAAGTCTTGATCATAAAACAAGATTGGAATGGTGGAGTATAGCCTAGAGCAGTAAGGCATATTGTAGAATGATCATTTTATGTCAGTTCTAATGTATATGCAATTGTATTTACAGAAAGTTAGAGTTTTGAGTTTCAAGTTGGAAATTCTTAATTTAAAAAATCTCAAATCCCTTACAGAGCATCAGAACTGGCTTGGGGTCGATGATTCCTTAGGCCCTGTAGCAGTCAGTATAAGAAGAGAGAAAGTGGAAGATGCAACTGACAGTGCCCACAGCTTGCCTACCTACCAGTATAGAATAATAGTCAGAACTTCAGAGGTAATGAAGTGTTGATAGATCTGTGCTGGAATGTCTTCTATTAATGTAATGTTGGGTCTAGAAAGAGTCAAGTGTTAGCTGAAAATTTGGGCCATTATGAGTCAATTTGAATTGAATTTTTTGTCCAAAATGAGTCAAGTGTCAGTTGAAATTTTGGTCCAGGATGAGTCAAATGTTGGTGGAAATTTTGGTCCAGGAGTCCAAGAGTTAGTGGAAAATTTGGTCTAGAATGAGTCAATTATTAGTGGAAATTTTTGAGCTAGAATGAGTTTAGTGCTGTTTTCTATGATGTGGAGGTTTCATGTTTGGCTGCTGTATGTTCAGAGTGCTTTCATGACTGCATTATGCAAGAAGGAATGGTTAATGTGTGTCTTTAAGTGTTATGCAGAGATGATATAACAGGTTGTTAATTAGGATCATGCTTTTATTATAAGTTATGCTAGAATGCAGGAGAGAAATTATTGTTTGAAATTTTGATTAAGACCCCCTTCAGTGCAATAAAAAGTAACTGTATAATGACACAAGTAACTAATTATGAAGTAACCTATTAGCTACTATTGCCTCTTGAGTGAAGGTGAAAATGGGACCTGTATGCAGCCCTGTGATGACTCCTGTAGCATTTTAATAACATGATTGTTTAAAGAATAGGGTTAATGGGGTTTCATGAGATAATTACAAGCAGATGGGAAAGGGTGCGGTGGGTACAGGCAGATGAGGAGATTGCATGGTGTATGATAGAGAGGTGATGGTATAGTTGCTTATTAAAGTGATTTTTTTTTCTGTTCGTATTAATATATTAGATAGGAGAATATGTTGGATTATTTGTTTCTGGCAAATCAAACAAATTGTTATATCTATTTTTTTATTTTATTTGATACAGCAGTGCTGGAATTCCAGTCTAATTTTTTGTTTGATTTGAAATGGCACTAAAGCTCATGATATAATGCAAGTTTTTATTTATTTTTTATTTATTTATTTATATTTTTATAAGCACTGAAGGACAGCTAGACTGAGATATTCCTGTTACTAATATCAGATTACAATTGAGTACAAAATGTGTTTCTGCTTGTGAACTTTGTACTATTAAGTTTATAGTTTTAACAAGCTCATTATGTAATAAAAATAGATACATAGGTATTTTGGGAATGTTATTACTTGGTTTTAAAGTTTGTTATCCTTTGGCAGATCATTTACATTTCTTAATTGTCTTTTCAATTTGTCATGACTCTCCTACTCTAGTGTTGCAATTGTGAAATTGAAGATTATTATTCCATAATTTTAAAATGTTTAGTCTTGAAGTGAAATTTGTTTAATCTCCATTTCTCATATGAAGAGGATGGGGAAAGGCTCATGTAATTCAAAGGATTAATCCAGACACAATGTTGATCAATTTTCATATGTTAACATCTCACTTCTTCTCTTTAGCTTTTCAGTTGCCAAGGAACAGTTTTAGAGGAGAGCCTAGGCCGTCCAGGGGGAGAAAAAGGTCGTGGCCCGGGAGTGCGTGAGGTCCTGGAGTATGTTTGTCCACAGCTATCAGTTGGATGCCTTCGCCTGGGACATGCTACCTCACAGACAGAAGAGGCTTTGTTGAGACTGGATGAATTAGGGGTACACAAGAAATTTAAGGTGAGTGTGAAACTTGTTTTTTAGGATTTGGGGAGTGTCAATTCTTGTTTGTTATTATTTTTGTTATTTATTTGTTCATTTTTATTTATTTTTATTTTTTTAATATAGACTACAGACTTTAGAGTAAAAGAAATGGTAGCTTGTAACAAAGTCTGATGTGCTTAGGTACATAAAGAACTATTTAGATATATATACATGAAGTCTCATATGCTCTTAGATCATTAAACATAAACATACTATACACAAATCTTGAACATTGGTATATGATCTTTCTTCCCAAAAGATTGGAGTCCTGTATTGCCGAGCTGGTCAAACGACAGAGGAGGAGATGTACAACAACGAGACTGCTGGTCCTGCATTTTCAGAATTCCTGGAGACTCTAGGCCAACGTGTCAGATTAAAAGACTTCGACAAATACAGAGGCGGACTTGACAAGAAGAGTAAGCTTGTCTCTCTTGATCATAGTTGAGAGTAATTCTCCTCGAAGAAGGAAGTGTTTTGAGTTTAATATCTTATTGTGAAAGAGTTTTTTGAGTAAGATGTTGATTAGTGAAAAATAAAGGATTTGATTTCTCTCTTTCTGCAGCGGACTCCACAGGTTTGTACAGTGTGTATACCCAGTATCGTGACTTGGAGGTTATGTTCCACGTGTCAACGCTCCTCCCCTTCACCCCAAATAACCGCAAGCAGCTTCTTCGGAAACGACACATTGGCAACGATATCGTCACGATTATCTTCCAGGAGCCAGGTGCTCCCCCCTTCAGCCCAAAGCACATCCGCAGCCACTTCCAGCATGTTTTCATTGTGGTGCAGGCTGTCAACCCTTGCTCAGAAAATACACAGTATAGGTATGAGTCTTCTTTATTGAATTGCTACTTTTATTAACTGCACAGAACAGGTGTTTTTGGGAGTATATTTATTCACATCTTTGAAAATAATGTAGATGGGTCCTAAACTACACTTTCTTTATTAACCTCTTTCTGAAATTATTTCTCCCTCCAGTGTGACTGTGAGCAGATTTCGAGATGTGCCAATGTTTGGACCCATGATGACTGAGGGAGCCACATTCCCCAAGTCAAAAACATTTGCAGAGTTCCTAATAGCAAAGGGTAAGCTTCTAGCTCTTGGCATTTAATAAGGTTAAATAAAGATATTTCCTTTGCTCTTATCTCCTCTCTTTCCTTCCCTCTCCCCTCTCCCCTCCCCTCTCTCCTCCCCTTTCTACTATCCCCTCCCCTCCCCTCCACTATGTATTCATTGCCAACGCAATAAAGAATCTTCTGAAAAGCTTGCTGATATAGATAGGTCTCTTGTCTATTTATGCAACTGTTTTCATGCACTTCCTGTTTATCTAACTACTTCTGTCCCTCCCTTCAGCCATCAATGGTGAGATTGCAGCCCTAAGGTCGGAAAAGTTTGCAGCCATGGCCACGCGCACCCGGCATGAGTACCTGAAAGACCTCGCCCTCAACCATACCTCCTCCACCACACTCGACACCTCCACCAAATTCTGTGAGTGTTTTGGCATGTGTGTGCGTGTGTATATGTGTACTTGTATATATGTGTACATGTGTGTGTGTGTGTGTGTGTGTGTGTGTTTTGTTTCTTTGTTTTGCATACACAGGCTTGTATATGTGAGTACGTAGATGTGCTTATCTTTGCCTATATTTGTGTGTTTGTGTACTGGTATCTTTGGTATATAAGTTTCCTTCCCCTTTGCTTAGTATATTTTTATCTTTGTGACTT